ATACTGACACTGGCACCTTTTGGAATAAACGTTGGGACTCGGGGCGACTTGGGACACAATCGACTTGTCTTGAAATGTATTTGACACTTTTTTTTTTTCTTTCTCCTCTCTTTTTTTCTCCCCCCCCCCTCTCTCTCTCTCTCTCTCTCTCTCTCTCTCTCTCTCTCTCTCTCTCTCTCTCTCTCTCTCTCGTTGGTGCTGCAGGGTCACATGCCAGCAACCCGCCTGCCGCAACAAGGTGCACTTGTGACTTATTTTTTTTAAGGCTAATTTTTTAAGCCCAACCAATTCAATTACCTGTCAAATATGCACAGAGAGCTTTTGCATGATGTTGGTCGGGATTTCCGTCAGATGCTTTTCAGCTAATTGCTATTCGCTATTCCAACTTGCCAAGGACATATCCCACAGATCGAGGGTCTGACGAGCTGCTGCTGTTTGTTAGGTCTTGCCACACTACTTACCAAATGTGAAAATGAGACAAATAACGGGAGATACATTCTCATTTTGCACACTGGGTGAGTAGTGCGGCGATGCAAGTAGGGCCTCGCAATCCAATAGTCTTTGCTAGTGGTACCTCGCCCTTAGTGGCAGGTGCCGCATGCATAACAGGAGGTCGCAAAATATTTTAATTAATAAAAACCAATTAAAATCCAGCTCATGTTTTTTTTTTTTTTTTTTAACCGAAGTGCATCTTCTCCATGCAATAATACCTGGAGTGACGTGACTGAGATCAGCGCCAGAATGGGAAAGATGAGCGGACGGTGAAAGTAAGAATAAAAAAAAGGAAAACTAGGGCACAACCACTGTTTCAGTTTGAAAATGCACTTCATGCACAATTTCGTGAATGTTGTACCAAAACATGGTAAATGGTGAATATGGACAACCTAGTTTTAGGGTATGGTGGGCGTGTGTTGTATTTGAGGGATGTCCGCAGTGGATTTTAAACTGAAATCATAACTGTGTCGTAGTTACCCACCCCCACAAAATAAAGAGCGTCCGTGAGCCGAGTTTAGGAGGAGAACAAAGGGGGAGCAGGAAGGAACAAAAGGAAGTGTGATAGAAGAGAGGATTGTGTGAACGCGAGAAAGAGGGTCATTCATCGATCCTGATTGCTATGCATGCCGTCACGAAGTCGAGCCACCCAACTACATGGGGTTACATATCCATCTCTCTCTCTCTCTCACACACATACACACACGAGCAGACACACACGCACACACACACACATAGGGGCATAAACACACTTACACTTTGCTAATGTATCTGACTCACACACACACACACACACACACACA